TATATATATATATATATATATATATATATATATATATTTCAATGCCATCAGTGTGCTTCCGTGTGATTTTGTAAGTAAGTCAGATAGTTATACCTTCCTAATTCACGCCATTTGTGAAAGATAAAGCTGAGTTTCACAGCTTGTGAAAGGCGAGGCCAAAGTGAACGTAGCCTGAACAATAAGGCATGTCTGAAAACATATTGAAGTCGCCCTCCCCTGGGCGAGGCTCTCTGACTTTGTTGCACATGCATGGGTTTTTTTATTTAAACACCTACCACAAACCTTTTTGCGTTTTACCAATCTTAAAACTAGAATACAGGATTACCAATTACCATTTAACCGTTCCCACACATTTCTCGACCATCGTGAATAGAGCTGCAAGACTTACATTTTATTTTCGTCTGCTCACAGTCTTTTCCGATGAGCTGAATTCGAGTAAGGGCTGTCCAGGCATATGCTGAGACACAGTAGTAGCGGCATGGCATGAGGCCTTTGAAAACTGTCTCTTGACCACCAGGCGGCACATGGTTGATTCGTGACCAGTTTCCATCTTCAATTAAAATCCGATAGCCCATAGCCTCCGACTGACCACTTAAATTCACCGGCAGCTGTACGATGAGCTTTTTGTATCCAGGACGAATGAGAAGCCCCTGAGGATTAACTTTTGACGTGAACAATTAATATTTTAAAATGTAGCCGTCAGTTTAAAAACTGAATGAGACGACTGCATACACCATAATTTTCAGAAAAGGTACAACGAAAGTGTCATGAAGAGAAAAGTATCCAAGTGAGCCTGCAACAGCCATTGATTTCAACTTCCCAGTCAAGGTCTTTTACTTATTCACGTCATCCCATCCACGCATAGTAGTTGCAGTTCAAACAGCTTCAACCACTGAAGGTTATATATTACACGTATGACTCATTTCACCCACTATAGGCCATCGACTACTGAATTTCCGAGTGGGTCTAAAACAGGCATTACTTCAGTCCACTTCATGAAAGATAAATCGCTCCTTGTCGGAAATTAGCGCCAAACAAAGGCCCATATAAACCAGCTTTGCTGAAAAAGCAAAGTGCATATGGAAGATGAATTTCACTTAATCGACCAAAACAGCAGAATCGGCTTTATCCTCCAGCCATCCGCGGCCCAGGCAGGCTTAACATGGTGAGGGAAAAGGATATGTATACAGCCATACTGCCTAACCCTTATTTGGGTAGTGTCATATGTAAGCATAACCTAATGAACGTAAGTTTCGAGACCATCTGAATGCTTACTGCAAACTACTTATGCACTCCAACGTATGCTGGCCAACTAGGGTGGTTTGCTAAACAGACTACAAACCTTCATCAAATGCGGGATCCTTTAATAGTATTTAGCCTTTCACTCACTTCGACGTGTAGATTGCCTACCCTAATGGTGCTTTTTTGATGCATAAAGTGTAGAAGCGAGCAAGTGAACAATTTCTTTTCCAATTTGATTACATCGTAGGGTAATTTTTTTTACAACGAATGATGATTTAAGCAACATAAGATCAAGTTCTTACCCAGGTATTCTGTAGTTAGAACGAGGAAACTCATGTGAAAGTAAACGTTCATCCTGTCAGAAGTCGAGAGATTTGCTGTGGTGCTATATTTATGTATTGACGGATTGTGAGCTTCCCATGCTTCAGTTACACATGTGAATTTCCGATCTTCGAGCAAGTTAAACCACTTTAGACACGGATGAGGTCATCCATCACAGGTAACTGGTCACCAAGAGCAAGTTTAACCCACAAGATGAGCGGCTCACACAAGGTGAGAAATCTTAACTGGTTTCTAATCCTGAGAAAGCAACCTCCCTGTTGGCTATGAGTAGATGTGTAAGAATCCTTTAAATTGGAATTGCCTTTCAGGATCTGGCTCAACAATGATGAACACTTAAAAAGCTACCACAGAACTGTGGCTCTTCTGGTGGGTACACACTCTAGTAACTAGCAAACGGAAAGTTAAAAAATCAAATGAAAAATATTCGAGTATGTAAGAAATGTAGCTGTACTTGATTTGATTAATCGATGGATTAAGCTTAAAAGTCTCCGATTGGATGTTGCAATTTGTGAGCGAACACAGGAACAAAAAGTCTTCCCACTCTAAATTGCACATCACTGTACACCGATTAAAACGTGTTACCTTTGGAAATCTGTGCTCTCGTCCTTGTTCTATTTTGCACACATTGAACGAGTAGACTTTCTATTCAATCTCCATAGACAGTTTTTAATCCCATAAAATATTCCGCGCGAGGCAGCAGCCTCCAGCTATCTGTTGGACATCAGTTTACACCATTGCAGAGAAGAAGGATGTGTGCCGTTTACATCACATGTATATATATATATAAGTTTATATAAGTATACATATATTTGAATAAGTGAACACGTACATCTATATGCCCTATGCATATATCCTGCTTGTAATCATAACCGAACAGGGGATATGTACCATTCCTTAATGAGATCAGGCAGCCTTTCTGATTGGTCTACGGCAAGTGTGCTGTCACAGACAGTTGTTTAGAAGTGGGTTGTTCCGAATTTTTAGGGGACGGCGCTCCTGGAGGATTGTCAACTTAGGTGATACATTATGCAGTTGAATTATGGCAACCTACCGCCGTTACTCAATTGGGGTATCGGTTTACTCAGTAAAATGCTTGAAGGTAGCAGTTCCGATTTTTCCGTCTACGACATAATACATCTTAAACTTATTTTTTCACAAATCCACAGTGTTACAAAAGGAGTGGTCAGGCAGTCATAGGATACTGGTCCTTGATTCGAAAATTCCATTCGTCTGCTGTAAGAAGCCACAATGAATTTCATTTTCAGGGTAATTTAGTACATTTCTTCTGTCGTTTTTGCACCTTTAGGCACAGCGTACTGTAGAAATTGCAGCAACAAAGGCAGGTGCTAAACTTTTGTGTTTTGAGCACTTCTGGTTCGCTTCTGACTCCTCTTACGGTGAAAAGAATTATTCTGTGGGCATCTTGTCACCTGAGAATAGCACAGTTTTGTCAATTACAGCGCAACAAATCATAACGACTGTTAGCACAAAGGGAGTTTGAAGTGTCGATCTTCAACCAGTATAGGATTGAATTTAATTTTAATGAATGGCGCACGCATATTCTTTCCTTGAGGCCCAGGCTTTTTTCAAACAAAAATGGGAGAGAAATGTGGTACTACTTTCGTTCTTATACGAAACCACTACAAAGTGCGTGGAATATTTAGCAATGTCAATAATGTTGCGTCTTGCTCCAATTAAACTAAGGAAAAACGTCAGAGTTTGGCTCAGTAATAAAGGAAATTCTACAACAGGTGCTGCTCAAAAGGCACCTGCTGTGCGCAGCCGCATTAGGAATGAGACAGTAATGCCTTATTCCCTGCGCCCTCGGGTTAGGCCAACCCCCTGCAGCCGAGCAGGTCAGACTATTGAGTCATCGGCTCCGGGCAGGGTCCCCAAAGAAAACCCTACAGTTTCCCACTGCCTCGTGGGTCAGATTTTTGAGTCAGAGGCTAGGGTCAGGGTCCCCGAACAAAACCCTACGTCATCCCACTGCCTTGTGGGTCAGACTTTTGAGTCGAAGGCTCAAGGTGGGGTACCTCAACCAAACCCCCTTCCTCGGCCTGGGCAACCGGGAAGTATCATTTGCCCGCGCAGTTCAGCGTCCACCGATGTCCCTCCCCAACCCCTTCCAACTGCATAAGCAAACGTCGCTGGGCCATTTGACTGTCAGTCATCTGACCGAAGGGCCTTAGGCTCCTCCCTACCTACAAAAAATAAACAAAATAACACCTTTCTAAATCCACGAGATCCTTTCTATATAGGAGCTTTTAACGTTCGTGCTCTATGTCAAATTGGCAAACAGGCTATGCTTGCTGAAACCTTGTACTCCCTTAAAATTGATGTATGCTGTGTCTCCGAAACACGCATACAAGACCCGAGCGTGGTTCTGCATCTCAGAACGCCAAGGATGAACCCAGCTCTTTCACATTTCTCCCTCCGTGTGTCTGGTGACCCAGAAGCGATGACTCGTGGAATATATGGCGTGGGAGTTGAACTCAGCCCCAGAGATGAACGCGCTTTACTGGATTGGATCCCAGTGAACAGTCGTCTCCGCGCCGTCCGGTTATCCAGTTCAATCAAGCTCAATGCCTCGCGGCATAAAAAGCGGTGCCTGTTTGTCGTGTCGGCTTATGCCCCGACGGACTGCAGTTCTGATGCGGAGAAGGATACTTTCTATCGAGAGCTATCCAGGCTCATTCGTCAAGCAAAAAGCACTGACATTGTGATCCTTGCAGGCGATTTGAATGCTCAAGTAGGTCGTCTGAGCTCCTCGGAATCACATTTGGGTTGTCGATTCGGAGTCGATGCTCACCGCACTGACAACGGAGTTCGACTCCTTCAGTTATCTGCTGATCACGAACTGTTTCTGGCAAGTACGAACTTTCAACATAAACGTTCGCACCGCGTAACCTGGCGGCCGCCAACTACAAATCAACCGTGGACCCAGTTGGACCACGTGGCCATCAGCCACCGGTGGAGAGCCACAATCCAAGACTGCCGTTCTTTCTGGGGCACACTTGACTCCGATCACGCCGTGGTGCGCGCACGCTTGACGGTTCGTTTCCCTTCAGGCCCTCGCAAGTCGG